CTACCCATAAGAAGAGTACGCGAGCCACGACGCTACCATAAGATTGACCACGTACGATAATCCATATGAGAAGATACGCGATCTACGGGAACCGCTGCGCTACCCATAAGAAGACTACGCAAGCCACGACGCTACCAGAAATGTCTTCGTTGTCTTCGTTTTACTACCCAGATGCTGTCGTCGCGCGCAACATTTGAAATTTATGAACTTTAATGACCATAAGTCACGTCAAAGGATACTTGAAAATGCATGAACTATTGTGGCCATAAGTCACGTTTATATTGCATGAATTTTTGTATTCAATGTTTGGAGATTTAATAATCATATTGGAAATGTAATACATGTTTTTTTATTTCCGAAGGTTGGGGATAGACTTTCCCCAAGGTACAGGCAACATCAATCCCACACCGCGTCGGGGTGTCGTCGCCGACTCGAGGCGGACGGCCGCGTCGCGTTACAATATTATCATCACCATCATGACCATTATTATTATTATTATTATTATTATTATTATTATTAATTCACTCTCGATATTCACATCCAGACATGAGAGAAGTCGATTTTAATTTCACCTAAGTCAAAAACCTCTTTTTTCCTTTTACAAAAGGGCTTATTTCATAGGAGAGTTTAATACACCGAAAGAAAAATTTGGGTTATTCATTGCCACAGTATTATAATTTCAGTTGAGGGGTTTTGTGTACATGAGGTTCATTGACTATGTGTAAATTTTTGTTCTCAGCTATATCGTTTAACTGAAGTACCAGTCGTCGTCTAAGCACAGTCCTTATACAATTCGAAAAAAAGGGGAAATATTTAAACAAAACAAAACTTGTTATTTAATTATCTGTCATTTATTTTATTAACTTTTGGAAATCAAACATATGCAAGCAGAAGTGTAAATTTTGAATTGAGAAAAATAGTCAGTTGATATGCATCTTGATATTTTGTCTCACATATACATATCCGTGTTAGTATTAGACAACTTTTCTGCATGCGTCACGGTCTCCCGGACAACATTGTTTTACGTCTTCATAAATTTCGAGCAGTTTTCAGCAGTTTTCAAGTGTATAAGTTTACAAGATTGCGGAATTCATTCAAATATGCAATCCTGAAAATTCCAAAAAAAAGTTCCATCTGTTTAAATCCAGGGTTACGGTACAGTCACGGCAACAGTGTGAAATTCAGTCCAGTGTTGCAGAGATACATACGGCAAAAACACCAAGTGGCCCCAACTTGAAAACTGCAACCGTCTTGGCTGGAGTCCACGCCGAAATTCCCGGCGTAACATCCTCTATAGACGACTGAAATATTTGAGGATATGATCAAAGCTTCATATGATAGGCATCTCTCTCTTTTACACATGCACGAAGACGAAACATATACGATTGGGCTTGCTGTCACCTTTTCATAATATTGATTTAGACAACCCGTTAAGGTTTCGTTATTTCTTAATGATTGATGCAGAGATCCTTATACTTACAGCCGTTCTCGTCAAGTCTGTTAAAACAAGCAGTGTCACACTTTACTTTTGCCAGGAGGTGGCCATCTTTTTCTGGTTCAACGCAGGCTTGGTGAGTGGCCTTGAGTCCATAACCTTTCAACAAAACAAAGAGAATATATATATATATTTATAGCGTTTGAGTAATAAACTAATACCACAAGGCGACTTGTGTGCGCGAGTGTATATATATCATTTGCCGATATAAATTTCCCAATATCAAATGATTATTAATGAATAAATACACATCGCCTATAGGCGGAAACCAAATACAAGGTATATTTTGCAGTAATATATTGGAATTAATGCGAAAAGTCAAAGGAATGAAAAATGAACAAATGGATAAAATGAGATGTTATTTCAATGATAAAAATTATCTAACACAAGCCGAAAAAATCCATACAATTACCTTGCGGTCAATCTGGACATCAGTCTGAAGAAGGACTACGTCCAGGGCTCCGTAACTCGAAAGCATCACGAATTGCGAATAGCAATGTCACCTTTTATTTCGAGGCTATTAAATGGGGCGAGTAAATCCCGAGTTATGGAATACAGACGCTTGCGTTCGGTCGCTATTCTCGATGCTTTCGAAATGCGGCGCCCAGGTTGGCCGTAAGCAAACGTTATGAGTCTTTCAGCTTGTGTTTGATAATTGTCGTTTATGATCCAACTACCAAGCCAGTGCACATTTTTGCTCATTAACGAGATGACACATGCTTCTTCTTTAAAAATATAAAAGAAGTAAACTATCACTTACCGTCTGTGAAAGTTTTAAAGTTGCAGTCATAACAGTGGAGTGGACTGAAAGATGTAGACGAAAAGACAAGTCCAACAGAACTCAAATACAGAAACACACGTAACATCATTATTGCTGTTTCTTACGTGAGTGTTAACGCGTTAAACTGACGGAAGGTTTATATATATTCTTACAGACTGTTCATAAATCTGACCACGTCTTAACTGTCCGCCAAGTTCAATGTGGGCCAGATCAGGATTTGTACTTTGTCTGGTGGATGCTGTTTATTCTTACAACATTTTGACCTCTTATCTGTTGGTGAATGTTGTCTGTTCTTACAACATTTTGACCTCTTATCTGTGAAGACGCCTATTACATGGGATCAAGGCTCATTATACATTTTACGGAAAATCAATGGGAAGATATTAGTTTATAGACATATATCTCTGAGGTTTCTAAGATTTTACGAGTTTTATAACCTATCCTTCAATATACTGTAGTATGATGCATTTCAATAAGTAAAGTAAATATGGATGGTTTTGTAACGATTGACGTACTTTTAGACCCAGTGCCTGCTGAGATTTGTTAAAATGGAAAAAATTGGCCGCCTATACCACTCGATTACATGAAGTTACGTAATGTAACTAAAATGAGTAATTAACTTTACTTGGAGGACAATTAACAGTTATTTTAATTGATTTAAATAATCTTTCAGTTATATCGTGCTGACAATAGTGCTGATAAGAACACCATTTGCTGGCCGGCTGAATTTTAGTAACTTGCGAACTGAAGAATGCCTTAATTTTACTCAAAATCGAACATGGCACACACCCGTATAAAAGGGGGTGCAAAAGCAGAATGCAGCACTCAAATGCTACCAGCGTCACCCTTACTAAGCCTCTTAGCAGCGAAGCATTGTAGTTACTGGAGGATTCTCTGCATGGTGTACATGGTAACACGCCAATGAGGCTTTTAACCGAGGTATATGCGGTCACTGCAATAGAGGGATTTTGCTTTCCAGGCGGGTCTCCAGCCGAGACGACCGCCCAGTCTGGGAGACAGCCGAGACAGCCGAGACAAAGGAGACAGCCGACCAGCCGGGTGTCCAATCGATGCAGCCGAGACAGCCGAGCCTAGACCGTGGTGATCCAGCTTTTCTTGAGGGCCGAGTTAAGACACCGTGCCCGTTGCTTCCCATAAGTGCAGGAAGCCAGATTCGTATTAAAGGGAGACAGCGCTACAGTATTTTAGTAAATGCCTTTGACAGAATTTCAATTATTTCTTATTTAACCAATGTTTAACCAAACTTTAAAAAACAAAGTAATGAAAATTACTTTAAAATCGAGGAATCGATATACAGTACAGGTACCTCATATATGAAGATAAACGTAAACTTGGGATTGGCCACTAGTTCTTCCTTTCTTCTTCAAATATTGATAACTTTGGATTTTGTTCTTTACTTATCTCAAAAGCAACAAGGTAATGAAAACTGATTTGAAATTTTATTTTTAATTATCAATACAAGGGTTTTATTGTTTCAGTAAGTACATGTACCCGTATTTACATGAGTTTTTTACAGTGTAGTCTGTATTGGGCCAGGTTCAGATATTGAAATTTAAGAAGTAGCAATGATTCACAGAAACAACATTGAAACAGATCTCACATTTTCCGAAAGAGAAAAATAAAACCTGGAACACTATCAACTTGAAAGAAAGAGCATAGTCTATATCCCTTGGCAATGGATGTTTCACATACAGCACGTAATGTTTGTGTTGTGATTGCATGCTCAATGTTTTTTTATGGCGCAACAATTAAATCAAGGACATTATTTAATGATGCTACTAAAGTATCTGGCCCAAGGGTGTACAAGTGTGCAAACCAATAAATCTTTATATCAACATCTAATCTTACATGTATTTGAATGTAACCCAGGCTGTTTATAAATGTCTTAAAGCGTTAAGCCTTCTTCCTAATTCTAACTCGCGCTGTGAAGACCTCATTATGAATTACCCAATTGAATCTTTTTATGGCTGAAAGTTTATCAACACACTTTTATTTTTACCTANTAACCAAAATACAACAGCCACGCGTTGTGAATGTGTAGTGGAGCCATGGATACAATGTACATTCTGGACACAGGGTGCTCTAGTAGATATAGTCTCTTACACATTTTATTGTAGCACCTAAACTTAAATTTTGTATATCATTTTATAGGTCCCTGTAATCAGCGGGTAGATAAAAATACCTGAACGTATGTATACAGAAACATGTACTTCATCAACGTCAAAGTGCAGCCAATGACTTAATCATGAATGTCTGCAGAACAAAAGAGATGACTGTAAATGTAGACTACCGGCGGAATCAAAACTGTAAAGCTCCTGTTGGAATTAGCGGTGGCGCTGTTGAACAAGTCAGTATTTAAAACCTATCACGTGTTCGGTTTAACAATATCCTAAGTTTCGGTCTTGTCATTCAACACACACGCGGTTAAGGAGTTTGTGTAAATGGCGCCTTTGTCACAGCACCTGTTAAGATCAAACACATCTACACAAATGTGCATTCAGTTTAGACTAGACATTACCGTCAGTACAAACAGTGCTTGTTTTAAAAATTGAGACAGGTCACATGGCGCGTGACATTGTGTGGATATGTTAGTGGACGTTTATATAATTATATTTTACATCGTTTTTATTTGGTGGTTCATTGTAATAATTATCATTATTTACGGTTCTGTTGATGATGTACTTGTTCAATCAGGCTTGGTCTATTGGCGATTTTACATTTAGAGAGACCTCATTAACTACTGTATGGCCAAGGATATATTCTATCCAATGTATTTTAAGCCCATTACTTGTCACCGAAACTGTGGCGACACAGAATGATTCTCAAAATACCAGCTCTTTCATTTCACTGTCACTGTAGATCGACCAGAACTCATTGGCCAACTGGTTGATATCTGGGTCAACGGGGTGACACCCCACTTCATGACAGTTGCTAAAGGAAGGGTTGTTCAAAGTGTAGCATTTAATTTGTATTCTGAATTGTGCTAGGTGTGACAGTTGTTTTAAAGACTGAATAAATTGTGCTAGGTGTGAGAGCTGTTTTTAAATATCAACACCTTTCGGGATTTGGGGATTTTACAGGTAGTGTAACATTTGATCGATTTTTATGCTGTTATTATGAATACTATTTGCAATGACTTTACACATTGGATCCATAATTCCCATACGTATCATGAGAAGGGGTTCACTGAGGACGATCAAGGTGCTCTTTGCAATACTAGGAAGTGCGGGGACATTCAATGTCTACACGTCAGTAATCAAGTTTATCTTATTTATTTATATGTATTACCTTTTGGGCTACGTTCTACCCACTAACGGAAGACTCGACACGTATTGATTTTCCCTCCTCATTTTTCGATACATAATGCGGAATAAGATATTGTGCTTTGAGGTACCAGTAATGCCGTCGCATCAAGTATTCATTGCGATGAATCTGAACATTCGAGCTGATGACGTATTAGCAGCCTTTAGGGGGGGTGGTGAGAATATAGTATTTCAAATAGGTCTCCTTCATCTTAACAGCTATCAATACCATTTTAACGCCTATTTTTTCACAAAAGTAAGTATACAAATCGGTGCAAAGAGATTTTCTTGAAATGCTTACTTTTGACTTGCTCAGTAAAGAGGTGAAATGATACCTTTGTTTAAAGGCCATCGTAATTAGGGGCTTATATCTACCACGCAAAAAAACACGAACCATATTACATGAACGCTGGGAACGTATTAGAGTCAACTACAAATAAGCATGATGATATCTTACTTACTTACCTGTACATAGTTACATGTACGTCGGGAACCGTAGCGAAATTGACGATTAATGCTTGGCCAGCCCATCTGAAAAATCCAGTGATATTGTGAATGAAGCAACAGAAAGAAGTTTAGTGCTTTTAAAGTGTTTATTTTTATTTTACTAATATTAAGTTAAGTATTTCATATATTAGAAACGGGAAAAGACTATTTGACCAAATGTACACTTTTATAGCATACCGATTCCATCAACCTCTCTGTCTTGCTCCAGTGTTCCGGTAGACGGTAGACTTCCCTGAGGAACATCTCCACCACCCGACTGTCGCTATTTATCTTCACGGCGTGTGCGTCGTGATATCGCCATAAATCATACCCATTTCTCCTCCTACATGTGACAACTACCACGGGTAAAACAATAGGACTGAGGAGATTTTGGCCTATCTATGGCGTCACCCACCAAGCAGTCAGCACATCTTACACAGGATATTGTAATTTGAAATGGTTCGATGCACGTCAAAATGTCCAGACACTCTATACATAGATGTAATGACACCTCAGTTGCTCCATTTTAAAACGTACACATTGAGACTGTTTGGCAGCTACTAGGTAACGGCGTCAACATGCTGAATTTAGAATCTGTTTTATTTTTTATAACCATGACGACGTTGGATCTCGTAGATTCTCGTACACCAGGGTGGTTCAGAGCCCATGAAAACATGCCTACAAAAGCACTTCCGAACGAACCCCTTAAATATCTGGTTATTCTGAGAAATTCAAGGGAAATATTGAAGTGAAGAACACGGACTAAACACATACTAAAAATGATTATGGCGCATTACAGCTCTTACATGATCTTCAAGATTTCTATTAAATTGATGATATCATTGACAGTAGGACTTCACGTACCTGTAGACAGTGAAACATGCGGTCAGTAGGGCCTATATATATTTCGAATTCTCCAAAAATTGTAGAATACTGACGGAGATATGTGTAGTGAACCATTAATAGTACTGATAGTTAGATTTGCATGTATGTGATTTGCATATCTGCTTAATTAAAATGTATCTACAAGTAAGTTTTAATTTATTCAAATGTATATAAACATGGCAGGTTGCATGTCACATATAGAAAGCCAGCTGATGGTGAAAATTTATTTCAAAACAAAAATTCTTGTGGGAGATTGCAAAAAAAAAATTATCATAAAAATAGCCAAGTAGGCCTATTTATTTTATTTATTTATCTATTTTTATTTTTTTTTATTTATTTATTTATTTATTTTTTTTTTTTTTTGTGAGTTTTAGGAAAAAATGGATCTGTGGCTCTGGTAGAGAGTACCAGTATTAAGGGGCCCTTGTGGTCACTT